GCCCCCCCTGCGGAATGCCATGCCGCGCCGTGCTGCCCCCGCCACCCCAAGATTGGCCACCCCTTACCAGGTGCCGCCCCAAGCATGTGCTTGGTTGCCTGGTGCCTGGAGCCGGCTCTGCTTGTGGCGCCTAAGCTGATTGGCGCCGCAAGCTTGGGAGGCGGGAGAAGTGAAGCAGCTCACCCCTGCTCCACCTCCTCCCCGAGCACGCCGTGGCTGCTTCACTTCTCCCGCCTCTCAGGCTTGCAGCGCCAATCAGCTTAGGTGGCACAAGCCTGGGAGGCGGGAGAAGTGAAGCAGCCATGGCGTGCTCGGGGAGGAGGTGGGGCAGGGGTGAGCTGGGGCGGGGAATTCCTCTGCGTGCCGCCCCACCCCTTACTGCAGGTGGCCCTCCCCGTGCTCCACTGCCCCAGCTCCCTCCACCTAAATGCCAGTGGGGACCGGGGCGGCCAAAGATCCGGCCGCCACGGTCACTGCTGAAGAAAATGGTGCCCCCCAAATCCTAGCGCCCTAGGCAGCCGCCAAGGTCACCTAAATGGTTGCACCGGCCCTGTGCTTCTTATTTACAATGTCACCTGAAAGTGAGAACAGGCATTCGCATGGCATTTTTTTAGCTGGCATTGCAAGGTATTTACGTACCAGATAGGCTAAACATTTGTATGCCCCTTCGTGCTTTGACCACCATTCCAGAGGACATGCTTCCATGCTGATGATGCTCATTTTAAAAATATTGCGTTAATTAAATTTGTGACTGAACTCCTTGGAGGAGAATTGTATGTCTCCTGTTCTATTTTACCCACATTCTGCCTTATATTTCATGGTATAGCAGTCTCGGATGATGACTCAGCAGGTTTGTTTTAAGAAGACTTTCACAGCAGATTTGACAAAATACAAAGAAGGTACCAATGTGAGATTTCTAAAAATAGCTATAGCACTCAACGCAAGGTCTCAGGATATGAAATGCCTTCCTAAATCTGAGTGGGATGAGGTATCGAGCATGATTTCAAAAGTCTTAAAAGAGCAACACTCCGATGCAGAAACTACAAAACTGGAGCCAGCGTGCAGATGTTAATTTTACTCACACAGTGCAGAGGTAACTTCTATTCAGCAAAGTACTTAAGCACATGCCTAATTTTACACAAATGAATACATTCATTAAGGTCAGCATCAACAGGACATCTCACTTGGTGCACAGTGCCTTGCTGAGCATAGGATAAACCCTGCTGTTCACCCCTCTCCCTAACAGAGGCAAACACTAATATATTTCATCTTAGGCAAAACCAAAAAACAACCAACGAATCAGCTCCAAAAGAGAGCGACAGAGAGAAAACCAATACATGCAAACGTCTACAATTGTGCAGTTTGCACTTCACACAAATAATTAAAAAAAATCTTATTGGTAACGGGAAAATTTCTCAGGCGTGAAAGAATGGTGAGTAAAACAGAAAAGTTCTGGGAACGCAGTGAAAGTTTTGCACATATCGAATTACATACGACAAAAATATATCAACAACATATATTCACACTGTCCGATAGTAGATTTATCTTTACACTAAGATTTCTAACATTCATTAAAAAGATGGCGGCTAGTATACCTGGGCCAGAAACATACTTTAGTTAATCATGAAGATAACTGTTCCAACACAATAAAATAACCCCCAGTTTCACGAGGGAGTTCAGTTTTTAAATGAGAACGGCAACATTTGGAAATACTAGAAATTTCAGATTAATTCTGAAATAAATGAATAAATATCCCCGATGGTTAGAAAGCTACAAACCACATGCAGACACATGGTGCCGCTGTTCACTAAAGAAACGGTGTAACAGCAATTAAAATTGAACTCCTCCCTCCAGCGACGGAAAATTACAGTCATTCAGAGCCTGATGTCTGGATTGAAACCTGTACGCGGATATTAAAGGTTTTTCCCCCTCATCTACTTCAATATCTACGAAAGGAGATAACTTAAAAGAAGGCAAACCGCGTCAGCTATGGCTCTTCTCCGGCGAGACGCCCTGGTAACCGGGCAGCTGCTGCGGTTGGTTCTGTTACACACGGCCTGGGAAGTGGGCAGCGGCCAGGTCCGTTATTCCGTGCCGGAGGAATCCAAACACGGCACCTTTGTGGGCCGCCTGGCCCAGGACCTGGGGCTGGAGGTGGCGGAGCTGGTGCCTCGGATGTTCCGGTTGGTCTCCAACAGCAGGAGAGACTATTTTGAGGTAAATTTGCAGAACGGTGTTTTGTTTGTTAATTCGCGAGTAGACAGGGAAGAACTGTGCGGCCAGAGCCCCCTGTGCGCCATTGACCTGGAGGTGATCGTGGACAAACCCCTGAGGATATTTCACGTGGAAGTGGAGATACAGGATATAAATGACAATGCTCCTGCTTTTCCCGTACCTGAAAAAAATCTATTTATTTTAGAATCCAGACTCCCAGACTCGCAATTTCCACTAGAGGGCGCATCTGATGCAGATATTGGTACAAACTCTCTGCTAACCTATAAACTCAGCCTAAATGAATATTTCAGTGTAGATTTGCAGAAAAATAACGAGCAAAGAAAATCGTTAGTCCTTCTGTTAAAAGAAGCTCTGGACAGAGAGGAAACCTCTGAGCATCATTTATTACTCACCGCCACTGATGGGGGCAAACCGGAGCTGACGGGCACAGTTCAGCTGGTGATCACTGTGCTGGATGCCAATGATAACGCGCCTGTATTTAATCAGTCCGTCTATGAAGTGCGTTTGGTAGAAAATGCGGCTAATGGAACATTAATCATTAAACTCAATGCAACCGATTTAGATGAGGGAATTAATAAAGACATTTCATATTCATTTAGTAATTTTTTTAATCCTAATTTAAGAAACATGTTTAGTCTAGATCCAAACACTGGTGAAGTAAGATTTAAAGGAGCATTAGACTTCGAAAATATCAGTTTATATGAATTTCAAATCGAAGCAACTGATAAAAGTGCTTTCCCCTTGACTGGACATTGCACCCTGGTGGTGGAAGTTTTAGACGTGAACGATAACGCCCCTGAGCTGGCCGTGACTTCCCTTTCTCTGCAGTTGCCGGAGGACGCTGCCCCGGGGACAGTGGTGGCTCTTATTAGCGTCTCTGACCGGGACTCGGGAGACAACGGCAAAGTCACCTGCTCCATCCCCCAGAACCTGCCCTTTCGGCTCGTCTCCACCTTTAAGAATTATCACTCGCTGGTGCTGGCGGAGGCCGTGGATCGGGAGCGAGTGTCTGAATATAAGATCCTGGTGACAGCCAGAGACGAAGGGACCCCGTCTCTCTCGGCCAGCAGCAGCATTTTGGTGCCGATCGCGGATGTGAACGATAACGCCCCTGCTTTCCCTCAGCCCGTTTACAG